GGAGGAGGAACTAGGGTTCTGTATCATTCCTCTCGCACCAGACACTTTCCTAGACGAACACAGTGACGCATCTAAATCGCAGGTCCCTTTGGTTTCCATTTCAACCTTTTCGCCTATTCGTCTGGTATCTCTTCATTTTTCTTCTATTTTGGAAACCGATTTCAGCATTTGATTTAACCATCCGATTTAATTTCTTCGATTTGAACATTTGGCTTCTACTGTAGTGGATGTTTTTGAACCATCTACATGACTACATCTGTAAATTCCTGTATAAAATTAATTGTTCAATTTGCACAAATACATTATGTAATTTCTGTGAAAAAGAAACTGTGATTCAATACATCCTGAGAAGTGTCCATTTCTGAATTTCAAAGCATTAACAAGTCATTAACAAGTCAGTATTCCACGGCCGATCGGAAGAAAGAAGGCAAAATCCATTGCCTCTGGTTCGGGAGGATCCGCCTCTGTTTCCGCTTCTCCCCGCGACGAAATTGGCCGGGCAATGGTTGAACAACTTCGGGCGTTCAATCTCCAGGAACAAGAGAGGTTGAAGCTAAAGGAGAAGGAGTTGAAGCTAAAGGAGCAGGAGACCGAGATGAAAGTCATGCAAACCGACCCCGGGACGTTGTCGGAGTTTGGACTAATGATCTATGAGCAAAGAATGAGAGAGATCAAGGAGAAATATAATTTACCTTAGTTTTTTTATTAATGTATCTTTTTTAAATTATTGTCGCTTTTTATTTAATTAATGTATTTTTTTATTATCCGTGTTTCAATTTAATTAAATAATAAATTAATTACATTTTATTAATTTAATTTTAGAAGATGTATATTTTAAAATGTAAAAAATGAAGGTTTGAAGCCCCAATTTGAAGCCCCGGGGCTTCAAATCCATTTCCAGTGAATTTTGCGTGTAAGTTAAAACTGACGTGGCAGAGAGAGAAAGTTTGAAGCTCCTGGGCAATCATATTACTAGTGCTCTTATAGACTACTCCATCCATTCACATTTCTTTTTGGGTCGTATGAAATTTTTTTCTTGATTTTTATTTTTATTTTAGCTATAAAATACTCCGTATTAACGAATTTGCCAATTTATTCCCATTTTTTATCTACTAGATTTTAGGAGGAGGAACTAGGGTTTTGTATCATTCCTCTCGCACCAGACACTTTCCTAGACGAACACAATGACGCATCTAAATCGCAGGTCCCTTTGGTTTCCATTTCAACCTTTTCGCCTATTCGTCTAGTATCTCTTCATTTTTCTTCTATTTTGGAAACCGATTTCAGCATTTGATTTAACCCTCCGATTTAATTTTTCGATTTGAACATTTGGCTTCTACTATAGTGGATGTTTTTGAACCATCTACATGACTACATCTGTAAATTCCTGTATAAAATTAATTGTTCAATTTGCACAAATACATTATGTAATTTCTTTGAAAAAGAAACTGTGATTCAATATATCCTGAGAAGTGTCCGCTTCTGAATTTCAAAGCATTAACAAGTCAGTATTCCACGGCCGATCGGAAGAAAGAAGGCAAAATCCATTGCCTCTGGTTCGGGAGGATCCGCCTCTGTTTCCGCTTCTCCCTACGACGAAATCGGCCGGGCAATGGTTGAACAACTTTGGGCGTTCAATCTTCAGGAACAAGAGAGGTTGAAGCTAAAGGAGAAGAAGTTGAAGTTAAAGGAGCAGGAGACCGAGATGAAAGTCATGCAAACCGACCCCGGGACGTTGTCGGAGTTTGGACTAATGATCTATGAGCAAAGAATGAGAGAGATCAAGGAGAAATATAATTTACCTTAGTTTTTTTATTAATGTATCTTTTTTAAATTATTGTCGTTTTTTTATTTAATTAATGTATTTTTTTATTATTCGTGTTTCAATTTAATTAAATAATAAATTAATTAAATTTTATTAATTTAATTTTAGAAGATGTATATTTTAAAATGTAAAAAATGAAGGTTTGAAGCCCCTGTTTGAAGCCCCGTGGCTTCAAATCCATTTCTAGTAAATTTTGCGTGTAAGTTAAAACTGACGTGGCAGAGAGAGAAAGTTTGAAGCCACTGGGCTTCAAACATATTACCAGTGCTCTTATAGACTACTCCATCCATTCACCTTTCTTTTTGGGTCGTATAAAATTTTTTTCTTGATTTTTATTTTTATTTTAGCTATAAAATACTCTGTATTAACGAATTTGCCAATTTATTCCCATTTTTTATCTACTAGATTTTAGGAGGAGGAACTAGGGTTCTTTATCATGTGTATATGTGTGGTGTGTATATCATTTTATCATATGAAGTTATCGTAGATTCGTAGAATATCATAAATCATGAAAACAAAGAAAATAATTATCCCATAACAAATTATAGTTGATTTAATAATAGTTTGACTTTAATCTAATTTAAAATTAAAGTATTGTTTAATTTGATTTTAAAAATTGGAAACGGATACGGATATATCCAATACCCGATCAATATCCGACGGATGCGGATACAGTTTTGATTTTCAGTATCCGTCCAGATCTGTATCCGAATTTAATATCCGACAAAAATAAATGGATACAGATACAGTAATTGTACATCCAATTCGATTAATATTCATTTACACTCGTAAGTAAAGTGAATATTATTCTAAATTGATTAGCCCTATTTTCAACAGAAAGATAGAGTACCATTTTTGAATTTACGAGCAAAAATAACTTCCCGCAGAAAGCGCTGCGAGTTAGTTCACGCCAGGGTTATCGAGTCTTCATATCCCTTAGACCCTGAGATTCATTTTCAAGCTTTTTTCCTCTGCGTTTAGATCACGAGTTCCATTTCAAACTCTTGCGCCTGCTCTGCGATCACTTTCTCCGTCTTCTTCAGGTTTATATCACGAATACTTTCTCGCTCTATTTCAATCTTCTTTGTTTAACATGAAGGCTTTCTCAAACGCTAGATTTATGTCTGGTTCATATTTGATTTGTATTCATATTATTCTAGAAAAAACCGAGGGAATTTGGTAGATAAAATTGATATATGTATTAATTTCACTTCGGAATGGTCTCTGATTGCTATTGGGTGAAACTTTGAGGTGATATTCTTATTTCGTAAATAAATCCTTCCGGATTTTCTACAGATAATCTTCGCGATTCATTTATTGAGTTTAATTTTCAGATTTGATGGTTCGAATCAAATCCAGATCATGATATTAGAAATTTCAGGATTAGGTTATTGTTTAGAAACCTAAAATTTTATGTTTATACAGTTATTCTTTGGCTATTTGCACTTTTTTTCAACTGTTCTTTATAAAAAATGGTTGTGTCAGCCCAATAACAACAATCGGATATGCTTATCCATCTATTGCTCCACCTATCATTTTGCTGATTTAGAAAAATTATTTTGTCGGTGCTTTGCATTAAAGGGTTAACATTATGAGTGAGTATAGTGTGGCTCTTCATTTAAATCTGAGGGAGAACAGTTAGAGGTAGGAATAGAGAAGGGAATCGGAGAGCAGGGAGTGTGGAAGGGGTGTGAAGGAAGTGGATCATGTTATTCTCCTCTGGGAAACATGTTGGATTTTGGAGATGTGGCCCATGCGGTGGATGAAACACGAGCTGAGGTGTTTGTTTTTTTCTGCAAGAGATACACCACGAGTAAGAGAAAGAGGGTGTGAGGAAAGATGGTGAGTTGAGGAGCAGAAAAGGGGAAATCCTGGAAGGAATGGATTGGAGGCAACTCGAGAGGATAAACACAGGGGTGACTCGGGTGAGCCTGCCTCCTCTTGAGTAGGGGGTAAGGTCTTTGTACACTCACCCTCTCGGCCTCTCCATACCCTACTTTTGTGAGATTTGACTGAGTGTTGTTGTAACAGGAAAAGATTGTAGACGTTGCTAAGGGACAGATGGTGATTATGGAAGGCACATTTGAGAAGGATTAATGTTTTGGCCTTTGGGAATGAACTGAGAGGGGGTTTGGAGAGGTTAAGTTATTAATAGAGGGGATTTGGAAGAGTGTGGCGTGGATGGTACTAGGGAAGTTCTACCATCTACATTTCCACCTTCAACAGCCCATTAGGCTCTGCTGATTCCGCCTAATGGCGTAGCAGACGAAGGCGGAACACATGTAGGTTCAGGAAGGACAAGGGTGCTGGATGGAAGAGGATGGTGAGTGTGGTTTGAACAAGAGCTACACTGGATGAAGGAGACAAAGCCTGGACTTCACTCTGGGAGGTGTGATTCTCGGGCGAGTCTAGAGCTCTTTCTTTATAGTCATTATTATTAAGGGATCAGTCAATGAAGATACTGTGTTGGAATTCTAGAGGAACAGCGAGGAATAGTTTCAGAAGACTGAGAAGAGTGCTGTTGGATATGGTGAAATTTAATCAACTTTCTATAGTTGTTATAGTGAGCTAGTAAAATCATTGCATCTATCAAGTTTAGGAAATCTATTAGGGTCGAGGAGGAATAATTCAAGTTAGACAATCACTCAGCATATGCAAAACTTTGAAATTTGGGCCAGAGGTTTAATAGATCTTGGTTTTGTGGGGCAGAGGTTTGTGTTGTTGGACTCTTGGAACACATGATAGAGATTGTTTAAAAGACTAGACAGGGCTTTTGTGCCTCTTTGGAATGTATTGTTTTGTTCTCTAATGTGAGAGTGCATCACCTGCGTAGAATCTCATCAGATCATGTTCGAGTTATAGTGGACATTCTGGGATCAGTTGATACACCAGAAGATCCTTGGCTGTTTCACTCTCACAAAAAGTGAAGGGCATGAGAAGAAGAAGAAGAAGAAGAAGAGGAGGGGAGGAGGTGGTGGAGAGAGTGAGAGAGAGAGAGAGAGCATCGCCATACCCACTTGCCTCAATTGTTTCTCTGATTCCTCTGTCCCTTCCAAATCCATCACCCTCGATGCCACGTTCAAGCTGTTGCTGGAACAAGCATTGAGCATCATCAGCCTCAGGAATTCTTAATCTGATGATGATGACGAGATCATGTCTTCATCGGTGATCAATAGCTCCTCAGCTGAAGGATCAAATGTGAATCCTTCAGATGAACTTTAGGATGCCACAGTCCAAGCAAAGCTGCTGCATGATCACCATTTGCCCAGCAACAGCTAGAAGACGAACCATTATCTGCAGAAAAAAGCATTTTGAAAGCTTATGATATAGTGGTTATTATTAGTTATTATTATTATTGGTGATAGTAGTAGTTTCATATTATTAATACTAATAGTATATTGATAAAGCTTAGTTTCTTATTAAAATTTGGTTCCCTTGGTAGGTAGCTTTGGAAATTTAATAAAAACGGTAGTTCGGGTTCATATAAAAAATCATCCCGAAACTCTTGAGACTTAGGCACACAACTTCTTTCCCCTACTTCTTTCAACAAGCAGTAGCCAATGCTCTACTCTCTTATTCTGTCCACATTAATGCAAAATTGCGTAGACACAATGCTACATTGCTAATGGGCTTTTGTGGTATGGGGAATGTGGGACAAAAAAAGGATATGTGGCGAGAAAAGCTAGAGAGTAGAGGAGTCAGGATGTTAAGATTCAAGAGTCAAGATTTTCAAAATTCCATATCTCTAACCTTTTATATTGATTTTCCTTGTTTACTTTATGTTATTCCTCATCCTATTTGTATTTCTCTTAGGGTCCGTTTGGTACACGGAATTGATGGAATTGGAATTGAATTGGAATTAAAATTCCATGGGATTCAATTCCATAGAATTGAATTCACCAATTCCAATTCATTTTTTGCACTACAAATTCCAAATCCACATAATTTTTGTGCTACCAAACATGAGAATTGGAATTGAAGTCCTCAATTCCAATTCCATAGTTTGAATTCCGTGTACCAAACGGGGCCTTAGAGTCCGTTTGATATATGGAATTGATAGAATTGGAATTGAATTGGAAATTTAAAATTTATGGAATCAATTTGGATGAAATTGAATTCATTTTTGGTACTATCAATTTTAAATCAATTCTATAGTTTGTATTCCATATACCAAATGAAACCTTATTTTATTCTTTGTTATTTTCGAACCTAACACCTAATATGATCCCTGATATTAATCGTATTAGCTGGTCTTAATGGAGGTAGGATTAGCTTTTCCTACTTACAGTCCAGTTTGACTTCGTTACTGACTTACTGTTGTTGTTGCTGCTGCCCTTTATAAAGCCTTGGACCATTGCATTTTTGAAGTTAATTGAATGATTGATTTTTAACACAAAAACTGAAGAATGTTAATAATAATAATAATAATAATAATAATAATAATAATAATAATAATAATAATAATAATAATAATAATAATAAATATCAACACTAATTATAATTTTTGTTTTTTATTGAAGATATGGACAAGGATAAGGACTTGGAGCACCTTAAACCGTACTATCCTGAGCTGAATTCCCTTCACGTTGAGTATCCTGTGGTATGTAAATTATAACTAAAGCATTATTAATTACTCCATGTTATGACCTTGTGAAGTTTTTTAATTTGAGAGTTTTTCATCTTAGATAGCACTCATGGAAGTCATGTTGGGGTCACACCAAGTTTGGCACAAAATGTTTCAGACACCACATGCTTCGCAGACAATTATTATCTGTGTTGCACTTGGTGTCAAACTCTTGATGTCAAACTTGGTGGATTTATAGCATTTTTGCTCGTGGAATGGTGGACGAATTTATCCTATTTGGTGGAGGAATTTCTCCCATAGTGAGAAATCGCATGTACGTGATTGGCAATATCTATCTACCTATTATTTCATGTATATTTTAAAGATTACTTCTTGGTTTCTATTTTTATATCCAATTCTACGTAGGATCAATATTGATCATGACACAATGTCTATTTTGACTTTACACGTATTAACGTACAAAACATCTCTCACAATATTTTTTTTCTAGGATTGAAGAGAAGAGTTTAAGCCAAAATTTGAGGTGGCCGTGTGTGTGTGTCAAACTTTGATTCATAGTATTCCCTCCATCGCAATTTGATAAAATTAAATAATCATGTCATTTTTAATTATGTAGATCTTTTGATATTGTATTTAAATATATAATTTTTATTTTTTAATTCTACATCTTTTGTTATATAAAATGATTTGAAAAATAATTTCAATGAAACATCAAACGATATAAAATTGGATGGGGGGAGTATTAGTGAAATTAATTTATAATTTGTTTTGGATGTTCAGTCAAAAGATTATACTACAGTGTTTTGATGTGTATTTATAATGAAAAAGTTAATTCGAGAATTCTTTTTTATCTAATTTTAAATGTGTTTTTCAATTAAAAACTAATACTTCCTCCTACTTGACTTATAGTGCTTGTTTACTATTTACAAAATTAAACTTTATTCACTTTCTTTTTCTATTTTCGTTAGTAATTTGATAAAATAAAGTATTATTACCACTACCAGTTTTGTAGTAAATCTTTTGATGTAGTATTATAATATATAATTTTTATTTTTTAACTCTATACCACTTGTCATATAAAATGATTTAAAAATAATTTCAATTAAACATCATTAACCAAAACATACATTTTAAATTGGGACGGAGGGAGTAATAAATTGTGAATCACTAATTAATAAACTATTCTTATGCATAATTTTTTTCCAACATCCTTCAGTTTATATAAATGTATAATATGAAATTATTGGCGGTATAAACATTACAGTTTTTTTGAATGCTATATAAATGTATATAGTTGTGTCCCAACTCTAACTTGTTTAAAAATAGACAGACCATATAAATGTTTATAGCACCAATATGAAATTATTCCTTTTCACCATCCTAACTCAACAATTAATCTTCGGTTCGGTTCTGACACTCTGGTGCTCAGATAAAACAATGGACCATTCTGTTGGGTATAGACCCCCTCAAAAACCCCACCCCCTTTGCCCTTTACCCCGCAACAAGGCGAATCTCATTGGAACCGAGCCGATTAATCTTTGGGGAATCTCATTCCTTGAAATATTTGGGGTTTTTTTTATACAACCGGTCTTGACAAATTAAGTTGATCTAGTCCTACTGAGGGTTGAGGAACCGACTCCAAGTAAAGAACTATGTAATGAACATGTAAAGAACAAGTCTCATGCATAGTCAAATGACTTAGTATCACTCCGCACACTTCAAATTGACCTATATTGACATGATTAGCCTAAATTGCACTTTGTGCTGAGTGGTGCCCAATATGAAGAAAAGCAGTTTAAAAGCCCAGAAGAATTGATGTATGTCCTACTATCGAAAAGATAGAGGTATCTCCTGCCCATATGCTATTGCCTTTATTTCCCTAAAAATAATAATAAAAGTAAAGTGAAATTGGTAAAAAAAAAGTGCAAGCAAAAGCACTAAAAAAATCTATGTTCCCAGTAACTTTAATATTAGGTCAAAGTTGGTAATCATACATCAACATCTTGTAGCATTCACCTTTTCTTCAGCAATGGTTTTACATGTCCTTGTGGCCAAGTGTAGAGTAATGTCAGAAGTGAGAATCGGCCATGGCAATGTTCTACCTACAAAGTGAATGATATTTATTGTCATATCAACACAATAAGGAATGATTACGAAAATTCAGGAAACTTGACTCCAATAGATCTAGTTAGGCTGTATACATAATATGTAACTTCAAGTTTAAGAAATTATTAGCTACCCTGTATTATTTTTTTAAAACAAAAATAGTCAGCTGACATTTGTTTTGGCAAAATTTGACTAAATTTTTTCCAAAACATGGTTGGGATGAGTAAAGGAGTATAATGCTTTGTTTGAATGAGGAGAGAAGATAAAGAGAAAATGTAAAATACCGGAGATCTATCTTGATAAACATCTACTCTTAGTACCTTTTTAGACACTTGGAAGTTTTCAGCATAGAACAGTGACCTTTATCAGATTTTGTTTAAGTAACTAAAAGTTCAAGCGTATCACTTAACAACCAGGAATTGATAGTTTAAGTGTATGAGTATGTCAGCACTGATAGTAATGGATAATGTAATTGTATAAGTTAAGCAATACCCATAAGTGTATCAGTTAAATAATAGCTTAAGCAAACAATTTGTGATTTCTAGCAAATGAAATTGTGGCTGTAATCTGTAAACGGCTTATGAATCGTCATTGCCTTCTGATTTAGAAAATATAAGAAAATACACTTACCAAGGACAAGTATGATTAAGAAAATATAAGAAACTACCGTTACCAAGGACAAGTACCATTAACATATACTCTGATCCCTCCATCTGCACTTAGTTGTCTGCTTGTTTTTTAATTGTCTTAAGGATTCCAAGATCATATGAGTACAAAATGAAAAGGTAGGCAATGATGAGCTGATTGCGTACCTTAGCATAGGTGCTAGCATTAGGCTAGTTGGGTAGGAGCTTTGGGATTGGCAGTAGTTTATGTACCTGCTGTTTCGAGTAGGGGTAAGGTGTGCATAAACACACCCTCCACATATCCTTCTCTCGTGGAACTCAAATGGGTTTTTGTGGTTGTTGTTGTTGTTGTGTATTTGGAATAAAGTCTCTTAGATAGTCTTG